TCACACTGCGTGGGCCACTTGGTATCTCCTTTCTGAAGCTAAACTAGAACTAGGACCTGAGAGCCCTGGAGTGGCCATGGCGTTCGGGCGCAGGGACAGAGCGGGGTCCGCAGGCCGGCCGGGCTGGCAGATGTGTGCGGAACATTGTGGACAGTCAGTACACGGCCCTGTCTGTCCCTCCAAGGCCACTTACAGAGGAGAGGCAGGGCGGGTTCAGGTGTGGGCCACCGTGTGCAACCCTTGACTAGACCCCAGCCCACTACCCCATGCCGCCGCCTCCCGCTGCGTGCAGGAGCACATGGGCCACCTCTGCATGGACCCCTTTACTGAGCACCAGAAGTCAGGTGGCCCCTCACCCCCACCTAACGCCCCTTAATGGCTTCTGATGCCAAAGGTCAAGTCCACACCTGACAGCCTGGCAACCAGCCAGAGGCCTCCAGCACCCGCAGCTCACCCAGAGCCACGCCTGTGCCCACCACCGCTCGATTCCCGAGGCTGTCCCCACCCACTGCCTGAGCAGCCTGTTCCCGTGACAAAGCTGTGACACCTCCTCCCCGTCTCCCCAGGGGAGCCGGCCCTCCCTGCTCGGGCCCCCTGATTGTAACCTTTGCCCTTGTCGGCATCGGCACAGAGCGGGGGTGTCCAGTGGGACCATCCACTGGCAGGCAGCCATCCTCGCAGGCCCTGCTCTTGGTCCTCAGAGCCCAGGGATGGCCTCCCGCCTGCAGCTGCCCCTCGGGGCCATCCGGGCACAACACGAGACCCTCCTCCTGGACACCCAGGATGTGTTTTTGAGTCAACACATGGCCTTTAAAACTAAAAATCCGTCCGTGGTTGAATTTTCGCATTGCCAAAGTCCTTCGAAGCATTGGTGATTGTGTTTGTTGCGTTCACTGCTAGAATCTCAGCACTGCAGATGCCCTGCCACGGGCCGTCCCAGCGTCTGGCCCCCCAGGCAGCCGGCAGCATGGGAGGAGGGGGCTCACCCAGCCTCGGAGGCTGCCTGGCCCCGGCACCCAGGCCACCCATCAGCATCTCGGGGCTGCTGCAGAGGCAGCATTTAGGCAAGTGCACGTGCGAGACAGTGAGCAGACACGTGGGACGCGAGCCGCCCAAACTCGCGTGATCTCACAGCTGCGTGTGGGCTTTCCGTCGCTAACAAAGCCTGATGGCATCCACATGGGGGCCACTGTGGGTTACGACTCGGTGCTTCCCCAGGGTCTGCCAGCCTCGGGGGGTCCCACTCGAGAGACGGCGCATCCCCACCGTGTCTGCAGCTCTCCAGATTTCCAGCCAGCTCGCCAGCACAGCCACCTCAGGCAGCAGACGGGACCGTCCACTTCCTGCCCCCGCGGTGACCGCCCCATGCGGCAATGCGGCGGAATAAAGCCTCTTCCTGACGAGCGTGTGTGTGGTGTCCGGCACTGCTTTGCCGACGTCTCGGCGCTGCTCACGTGCTGGTGTTGGGGCTCGGCGAGCACGGCCGTCAGGGCGTTCCTGAGCCAGCGCTCTGGAGGAGGGGGTGGGCCTGGGACTGCGGCACACTGAGCCTGCGGCAGAGCCCCGCACACAGGCCCGCATGTGGGGCTCCCCCTGTGCCGTGGGAGCTGTCTGCGGCACCCTTCCGTCACGTGACACCGCTCACATGACGCTGTGTCTAGCGATGACTACGTCTCCAAATGTGAATTTTGTCCTGGCTTTCTCCGCCAGGCGGGTGACACGTGCACACTTGGCTGGGAGGGCGATGCTTCCCCCACCCCTCTAGTCAGGAGCACTCCGGGTTGAAAAGAAGCTATGGTGTTAGTTCTGTGTCACAGTCACCTAAAGTTGTGTGGTATCCAGAAGGCGTCAAAAACGCTGTGTGCCTCACCTCGCCCAGGGCAAGTGTGTCACAGGGAGACCGAGGTGGCACCCGCTCGTGTTTAGAAAGCCACTGCAGGTTGCACGCTGCTCTAGGCGATGCTCCCGTCACATGAGCCTGGTGTCCCCTGCACACTTGCCAAACCTGTGGAAGGTGTGTAACACTTGGTCAGGTGTGCTGTCTGAGTTGAAACACGCGTGTGAGTCCACTGTCCAAAAATCTCACAGTGGGTGTGCATGTTCTAGTTGGTTCCAGTCTCATAAATGTCTCAGTGTTAAAAATGCCTGACTGGCACGTGTCCCCCCACGTGCGTGTTGACGGCACACTCGCCTGGCTCCTAGCTATGAAACCCAGACAGTGAGCATCCTGTCGGTGGACCCCGTCCTCACCTCTGCACCCCACATGACGGGACCCACCATGTTGGAAGACTGGGGCATCTGTGAAGGGTGGGGCGGCGGCCTGTCCTGGCCTGGGGACCCTTGAGAGCGGCCAGGGACATTTGTGCAGTGCACTCCAGCGACGTATCCCCGAGCCAGGCCGTCAGTGGTTCTGGGCTGATTGTCCGCATTTGAATCTCACTGCGTCCGTGTCCTCACTTCGCTGCTCAGACACGGGCTTCGATGCCACATTTTTAGCATCTTTGGCTCTCTTCACAATTGAGCTCCCATTTGGCCTGTTTAATCCCAGTGGGCATCTGCCAGGGTCTGCACTTGTGACCACCACACTTTCAATTCAGGTTATCACTGACATCGGCACGTCTGGTCTTCTTTTCCAGTGTTTTTCATTTGAAAAGCAAAATAAAATGTTTAAATAATAGCTCAAACCCTGCTATAGGCACAGACGACAGTTCAGCCGCAACTAAACTGTCAGCCCACAGCACTAGGTGTTGGCGCGGGAGACCCCTCGGCTGCTGTGTGGAGGCCCCATTCAGCCCGGGGGCAGCGGCTGGGAGCCTCAGTGGGGATCCACGCGGGCACGAGCCCGCAAACATGAGCCGACCTGCGTTGAAGGTCAACCCGAGGGAGGCGGGGGGCGGGCAGCAGAGCGTTGAGCGGCCTCTGCCAGGCCCTGGGCTCTCCGTGCGGCGTCTGGCGGTGGGAGCTGGGTGACAGCCTTCCCGCCGGCTCAGCGGTTCGTGGGCGTGTGGGTGCACCAGCAGCTGCGCTCCGCGTCAGGCGACCTGCCCCCGTCCTCTGCTCAGTGGCACGTGGCCTAGAGGCGGCGGTGTACTCGGGCCCCGTGGGGGGCGAGGGCCTGGACGTGCACGGCAGCCTCTCTCTGGTCGTCTCGGGACCTCGGTTTCTTGTCTGCGAACTTCCCATCACCTGCGTCTCACAGAGAACACGCCGGCATAGCACAGCCGCCACACCGAGCGCCAGACGCCACTTCTCGGGCTTCGTCATTTTCTTGCAGCATCTGTGCAGTCGTGAGCCCAGTCCCCGTGTCGGGCCGTGTCCTTGGCTTCAGCACAGGAGAGGCTCCTCACCTCCAGAAGGGCCAGTGTGAAGCTCCTCGTCGTGGCTCTTTCTTCGCTAAGCCTCTGAGTTTCGAGGGGCGAGCATGTATAGACAAGAGCTGCTGCAGACCCCGTGGGGCTGCAGGCGATGCCCGCGGGGGGCCGTGAGGTGGGGAGTCTCCCTCTGGCCGTGATGGCCGCCCACGAGCAAGTCCATGCTCCTCAGGAAAATAATGACCTCTCTTTCAGATTGACCAAACTTTGCTCCCTTGTCATGTTTGCTATTATTAAGTGCTGTTAATGTGTGAATGCAGGGGCGAAACGGAGCTCTGAGTGCAGCTGGTGACAGTCCCTGACAAGCACAGGTCGGCTCCTGCGGGTCACAGGCGGGGTTCAATTCAAACCCCTCCCACGGGACGCCTGCGGGGCTCCGGCCTGGGCGCCAGAGGGCGCTGGACCGCACGCGCGGCGTCCGTACTAGCGTCAGGCCGTGGGAGGAACCCCAAGGCGGGATGGTGACCTCGAGGTTCAGCTCCCACGAGCGGAGCTGGCTGCAGAACGCCCCGCGGCACCGGTGGAGTGGGGCGGGGACACACAGTGCAGGGACGGCGCCGGGGCGCCAGGCCGCTACGCGCCCACGAACTGTCCCATCGCGCGATCCGACAGAAGCTCAGACGACAAGCTGGTCGCTGGTCGGGGCAGGGTCCGGCACACGCAGGGCGGGGCGGGGCCTAACGGCACCCCGCGGGGGTCGGCGCGCTGCCTGCCGCCTGTCCCGGGAGCCCGATTCGCTTCAACGCGCAGCACCCACTTTATCTCCTCTAGAGGCTTTTAATTGCAAATGATACCTATTCCTTCCAGCCCCAAGACCCAGCGAGGGGGAGCAGTCCCCTCACACCGCCGCGCCTGGGGACACGTCCCCATTCCCCGCCAGACCGCAGCTCAGCGCCTCCCAGTCCCTGCTCGGTGGGGTCAGACCCCTCACCTTGGCGTGATGGGCACAGGACCACACTGGTAGGTCCAAGTGTGGAGTGAGCGACGTGGCCCCTACTGCCCCGTCTCCCTGGCTCTGCGCCCCGTCCTCAGCATGCCTATGGCGGGGCACAGGGACAGGTACAGGGCTCAGCTAAGGAGGCCTCAAGTCCCTGACCCAGAGTAAGCAGGGGTGTCAGAGCCCCTGAGGGGCAAGACCCAGGCAGACGGCCCTCGGAGGGGGCCGGGCTGGGAGAGCAGGCACATTTCGGGGGTTGTGAGGTCCAGGGGCCCTGACACGGGATGATGGATGTGGTCAGAGGCACGAGGGAGCACGTCTGCAGCCACCCGGAGGACCCATCTCTGCAGGACGCCCGGTGCTCGGCCCTTCCCAGGCCCTTCGGTTCCTGACCGACCTGAACCCACCAGCAGAGCGGGAGTGTGGGCCGGTGGCCAGCACAGCGCAGTCCCCAGCATATACACGTGGCCACTCAGAGCACAGAGGTCCCTTTACACGCCGCAGGTGTGACGTGAAGGGCGGTTTTGAGCGAGAGCTGTCGGGAGGAGGAAGTTCCTAACATTCTTAGGTGGTAGACCTGCATCTCTGCACAGTGGCCCTGTGTCCTGCAGGACGGAGCTGCCCCAGGTGCTGGGGGGAGGAGGGCGCGTGCCCTCCCGGGACCCAGCCCTGGTCAGGCTGGCAGAAGACAGTGTCCAGCAAGTCGGGCACTGTGGCCCGAAGGCTCACGGCCTTCCCTCCAGAGCTCGTTAGACGTCAACAGCCTGGTGCCACCCTTGGCCAGTTGACAGCTCCCTGAGTGTCCCGCTCAGCTCTGTACTCAAGGTCCCTGCCACTGTTTGTGCGAGTCAGCGCCCAAAATGCAGGAGAGGCCCCGGAGTGGGGTGGCCACTGCTGCAGACGCACTCCCTGCCACAGCCGTCACCCCTGCGGCCCAGAAACCACGCACCACTCCGTGAGGGGCACCCAGGACCCGCGCAGGGTCCACCCGTCAGCCTCTGGTCTCGACCTTCAGTTGGAAGGAGTCTCGCACTGGAGGAACACTGCAGGGGGAGGTGGAGGCCGAGAACTCCACAGGCATAACAGCAGACAGGTGTCCATGTGCTGCACGGGCTGCACACGCACTGCACACGTGCTGCACACGCGCTGCACACGCGCTGCACACGCGCTGCACACGCACTGCACACATCTGCACACACGATCGCTCTCCTGCACAGGCTGTACACACACTGCACACGTGCTGCGCACGCGCTGCACACGCGCTGCACACACGCTGCACACGCACTGCACACATCTGCACACACGATCGCTCTCCTGCACAGGCTGTACACGCACTGCACATGCGCTGCTCATGGGCTGCACACACGCTACACACACGCACACGCACTGCACACATGCTGCACACATCTGCACACACGATCGCTGTCATGCACAGGCTGCACATGTACTGCACACGGGCTGCACACATCTGCAGACGCGGTCACTCATGCACAGGCTGTACATGCACTGCACACGTGGTGCACATGTGCTGCACACGGACTGCTCACGGGCTGCACATGCTGCACACACAATGCTCATGGGCTGCACACGTGCTGCACACAGGCTGAACACACACCACTCACGGCTGCACACACACGGCACACGTGCTCACTCTCACGCACGTTTCTCCTGAACCACGACACGTCGGCCTGCTTTCCAGGGGAGAGGTTCGCATTCTGGCTTCACGTGCTGTTTCCACATGGCCACTCGCCTGTCATCGTGGCTGGGGCCTGCTGTGTCCACAGAGGACAATGCAGGTGGCAGGTGGTGGGCGGGGCCTCCCGTACCGGCTGAGGGACCCTGGGAGCCCCTATGGGAGAGAAAAGGCCCAGCCGCAGAAGCACAGTGGCTGACCAGAGTCGGGGGCTCTGGAAACCGCGTAAATCCATTCTCGGAAAACGTGTTTCTCCAGTTGTAGAAACACTGTAGTGTGGCCTTGACCCACATCTGCCTGGTCCAGCTGTGTCACTGGTGACTCGAGGCCCCGCAGGGGGTTGGCTGACTCAGGAGAGTGACAGCGACGTGAGTCATCATGACGCCAGAGTTTTTGGAGGGGTCCAGACTCGGACTGAGAGTGTTGGAGTTGGCCAGGACTGGGCTGGCAAGTGCAGCCTTGTGGCTGCAGTCAGGGACACTGAGGCCCAAAGCCACACTGAGCCGAGCGAGGGTGGAGCATGCTCCCCGTGCAGCCTGCCGCCCAGGTGAGACTCCCCCTGCCCTCGGCGTCCAGACGCGGCACGGGATGTGGCGGTGTCCCCTAGCCTCTCAGGACAGGGTGGCACTGCGGGTGGGTGGAAGGAGGGAGGAGGACGTCTTGTCCGTCCCGACCGGGTCTCCAGCCAGGGGTGTGAGCAGGACCCTAGGTAAGGGCCCTCCTGAGCCCACGGCGACCACGGTCTGCGTCTGCGCAGGGGGGTGACGCCCCCATCTGTCCCTTTTCACTTCACTTTCATGCTGCTGGGTTTTGCGGTTTTAAGTCTTAGACCTAACTTGGCAGGAAGACACTCGGCCTCAGGACTCCCCAAGCCGAGACCCTAGTGGTCGCACGGAGCCGGCGGACGCGAGCAAGGCGTCCTCGCCCTCAGCTGCTTGCTGTGGTGGGTCCCGCCAGGCAGAGGCGCATCTTCCGTGCTTCCGACGCTCACTGTCGCCCACGCGGGGGGCGCGTTCCCTGCCAGGGCTACAGGAGGAGCGTCCTGGCGCCGCCCAGGGCTGGGACTTGGCTTTAGAATTCTCCACAGAACCACCCTTCACGGGAGACGGCAGTAGGACCTGGTGGAAAAGGAAGACCCCCCCCAGGGTTGAGAAACTGGAGAGCCGGGTCCTCCAGAGGCATCTCCAGCTCCTGCCTCAGGGAACCCGCAACTGGGAGCCAGCAGGGGGCACTCCTGGGCGGGCAGGGTGCGGGCTTGGAGCCGCCAGCCCCTCCCTCCACAGGGCGGCCTTCCAAGCACGAAGAACCCAGATCCGGCCCTTGGAAGCGTTTCCAGATGTTTTTGGCATCAGAAAGAGCCTCCGTGAACCTGGGACATGGCCGGGCGGGGCGGGGGTCCAGGCTCGCCCACTGGGCACCTTTGTCATCCGGTGTGTCAGTGCCCTGCACCGGGAATGTTCTCAGCCTTCTAAAGAAAGCAGGCCGGCCGGGGACACCTGACGTGGGGGACACGCGGGGACAAGGGCAGCGGGCTTCTGCTCCTCCTGGCCCCTCTCCAGGGACTCCGCCCACCGGGGCCCAGCATACCCGCCCCGCCCAGGGCCGGCAGAGAGGGGCCAGGACCCCGGATCCTTCCCAGTGCCCTGGCCCTGGGTGCGCGGGAGGGGAGGAGCATGCCCACAATCACGCCCTGCACGTTCACACTCACGCACGCATCTCCGCGCACACCTGCAGCGCCAGACCACAGCCTCACAGAGCCGCCCCCCTCTGTGCAACCCCGAGACCCAGAAAGCCTGGGTTTGTCCCTTGCTGCCTTCCGCCTGCCGGCGAGGCCTGGTCCAGGCTGGACACGGCTGGGACGAGTGTGCAGCCCGGGCTCAGGACTCAGAGCGGGGGCTGGAGGCAGGGGCTGCGGACGGCGGAGCACCGATCTCCGCGGGGAGAGAGAGGGAAGCGCGGCCTTCACATTCTGCCCACGCTGGACGGGCAGACGGCCGCTCGAGACAGAGCACCCTCTGTGGCAGCTGGCTCGGTTTCCCCACCTCCCTGGACCTTGGCCTGCACCCTAAGTTCCAC